TTGCCTAGGCAATACTCGATTTTATTGTAATCAGGCCTCATTTACATTTTTATCTTCTAGCTTTTTTCACGCTTGTTTTTATTCTCAATTTTTCGCACCTCATTCGTATATATTTTCGCTTGCGCGCCACATTTTTCATTCGTTAAAGGCTATAGACTGATAGCCGAAAGCTTACGTTTTTAATATATTTTTAACCAGAGAACGTTTTTATTTGAATATGTCTTATCCTGGTTACAGTTCTATTTTTAATTAAATTATCACAATTATTCATCGCTAGGAATTTTTAAATCATTGTTATTATATATATATATGTATATATGTATATATATTTTTTATTCATTGCAACTTTTTATTGTTGCACATGTAATTTAGGTGAGGGCCACAGGTTTCTCAGTCCAGGACTGTAAAGTATACCTGCCAACTGTCACACCTTAGGCATGAGTCTCAATGCCTGCAGATTGAACACTTCGATCTCATGCTGACTCACACTTTCGGGCCAAATTCTCAAGGCTGATTGAAAAATGTGAGTGGTTGCAGCTTTGCTTGGCACAATTTCCAAAATAGTAAACTCAAACCTATGTAAGAAATAAAGACTATGCGTAAATGACAATACTTCCGTCTTCAAAATGAAAGGAGCGGAAGCGAGGTCGTGTTTAGTGATACATGTCCAGAGAGTGGGACTGGGAATTGTCAGGGCTGTTTCCACTTTGGCTATTGTATTCAAATTTGGTCAAAATAAACCATTTAAAGTCACTTGTTGAAGTCTTTGGAAGTTTTTGGATGTCTTTGGAAATCTTCAGATATGTTTGTGTCATCTTCTAAAAACCTGGTACTCCCAGGATAAAAATCTCATGTGTATAAATCAGAAAAAGTTGGCAGGTATACTGTAGAGTGTTTCCCTTGTTAAATATAGTTATTGATTGGAAGTACAAACAGTTACCAGTGTCTGGGCTGTATGGGTTGCCTGTGTGTAGTAGTACCTAGAGCTGCAGGGGGGCCGTTGTACTCTACCCAGGGTGGCTGAACTGTGCTGGTCCACATGCAACACCCAGCTCTGACGTATGGCTCCCAGAAGTTACAGGCAAGGCAACGGCCACACCCTGGGCAACGGTGTCGACTCACCAGCTGAACTACATCAGGGTAGCCAGCTCAACTCAACAAGGAATTGGCTGGTGCTAGGAAAAGGCAGATGGGGCTCTCTAGCTGTGGGAAGCAACCCATCTAGGAGATGGAAAACTCCAAACTAAAACCCGGGGGTAGTACCTGTCAGCCTAACAAGGCAACTACCTAGGGGAAGGGAAATCCCGATAATACACCAACCATCTCCACTGGAGTTGGTCATAGGGTTAATCACCCTACACCATAAAAAAAATCTAATCACGGAAACCAGAGACTTGTTAAGGACAAACTATACCAGATCAAGCATGACGACTTGCCAAACTCCAGGTGACAACTTTATCATGTGGGACAATGGCAGAATTACAGACATGGATGAAATCTGCAAAGAAGCTTGTTGACTGAGAGCTAATCCCAAAATTATGGCCCTATTCTCCCAGAGGAGAGTCAGGCCTAATAATAATTATGACTTGTTTCCCTGCCAACCGCTGACAACATGGTCTAGACATGAACAGCCCACCCATGTGGCAGCAACATAGATTTAGACTGGAACAAAGAATTGTACCTCATGTTTTGAGAACTATTTTTATGAATTTACATCTTATACAGTATTTCCTAAAATGAGCTCAGTCCTATCAACTTTGTAAATGGTTTGAACCCAGGAGTATCAGTAGTTCGTATAGTGTGATCGTCTGGGTGAGTGTAGTTCTGAAAAGAACTGTTGTTGGTGACTGTTGTTCTTTCAGAATTACACCAACAACAGTTCTTTTCAGAACTACACTCACCCGGACGATCACACTATACGAACTCCTATCAACTTTATATAATGTTTTTTGCTCCCCCAAAATGACGTCACCGCTCAAAAGTAATGACTCTCTGAAAGTAACGCGCCTCTAAGGCTCCTAATTTCAAAAGTAACAACCCTTATTACTTTTGGAAGTTTACCATGTTACATGGTATCTAATATATAGATTTAACCTAAAGCCTACAAATTAAAGCAGTACTCCTGATTACAATACATTATTGTGGCTTTGGCAGTCCAATACCTGGCCAGTAGTTAAATTAAAAAAAGGCATGTGACCTTTATTAGCTCTAAACTTGAGCTCATGATATGGTCTTGTGATACTTGTCAGCAGATACCTTGTTTTGAAAGTTGTCAATTTACTATAACATGGAATGTCCAATATCAAAGATGTGTGCTGGGCGCTGTAAACCATGACTGCCATGTTGTGCGACTTTGTTGTTGTCATCATGGTAATCGTGCGTACGTGCCCACGAGCATGACCACTTGCCATGATGACCATGAGAAAAGCAATTCATGGGTTCCTATGAGCATGGTGCTCCACTTGGAGGCCAGTGGAGCTCTGCTATTTATAGTGTCTTAATCAACCAAAACTGGTTACTAAGTTGAAGTAGTTGCCCACAATAGAATGTGGCAGGGAGTTTTTCCTAAGATGATGAAATCCTTAAGTCTTATGATTGATCTTAAGCCCAATGTAGTAACCAATTAACCACTATCTACTTGGTATTAAGTAGTATTTAAATGCTAATGTAGGTGATAAGATTTATCATTAATGGTTAGCTTTTGTGCTGGACTCATGATTACGATGTCCTGGTTTGAGTCTGATTGGGGTCATTGCATTGTGACGGTTAACTCTCACAGTGTTGCTATTTATCTAGGGAATAACATTAACAGGTGTTGGCAAATTGTTAATTGTAAGTTTATTTTCAATTGATTCACAGTCTGCTGGAATCATTGCAGTGATTGTGATTGGTGGAGTTGTATCTCTTATTTGTGCATTTGTGGTGGTGTACCGATATACATATATATTTCGAACAAGGTGATGCCATTAATTATGTTATACCATAGCAACTGACAACAATTCATATCAGCTTTCAGTGAAGGAACTTAGTGTTAGGTATAATAGTGTCCCTTATCTGACTGTGTTAGTTTAATTTTGTAGTTGATTGTTATCAGGTGCCACTGTTATGTACAAGATGACTATTTCTGAGGCCCATTAACACCAGTCTGCCCATGTTTATATGTAGCTCCTGTTAGAGTCGTAGCCCGTTTTAGAGGACAATAGTGGGGGTCCCAACTTTTCTCTTTGTGGATTTTCTAATCCCACGAAGCATTTTAAATGACAATGAGTCATCGCATGTTAGAAATTTATAGATGACTCACACTGTAATGCAAGAAATTTTGTGGACTTTCCTGATGTGATAAAATTTATATATTTCAAGTTATGGATACACTTGGGAAGTCTGGAGAGCACTCAAGAAGCTAGAGTTGCTCATGGCTATGCTTTGAGCAATTTTTAAGCTTTAACTTGTGATCCCCAAGATCCTATGTCCATGGTACCTTTGATGCATTAGATGTATGTTAAGCATGAACGTATTCTTAAATAACCTTGCTGTTCATATTATATTTTCTACAGAGGACTTCAAGCAAGAAATCCTGACCATGACTTTGATGGTAATGGGTTCTCTTTTTCAGCAAAATTTATTAAAAATAATGTAAATAGTTAATAATGAAATTGGTTATTTTGTTGTGCCTGGAACATGATTCTTATGTTGTTCGACTTTATACTTGTTAGCTCATGAGTTTGTTTTATGCTGTTGTTTTACAAGCAGAGCTATTCTTTTAGTATGGTAGTATGATATAATGTTAAGTACAGTTGAACCTCTATGAAGTGGCCACCTGTTAAACGGCCACTCCTTATTAAGCAGCCAGTTATCAAAGTCCTGAAACTTTATTATTGTCAGTAAAATACTGTAAATAAAACCCCAATTAACAGGCCACTTCTATGAAGTGGCCATGGCCATCTTTTGGTCATCCCGATGAGAGTTTTTCTATTGTCTTTACCTTTATTGAATGGCCACCCAAAATTAAATATGCATAAATGAACTTTGTTTTGGATGAGGTAATGGCAGATAAGAGTCCAAAATAGAAGGTGACGAGTGATAAAAACAATCAAACACACGTTTATCATGATTGTCTTGAAGTGACTTCATGTTCACTAAGTAATTGACCCGATGGTGAAAAATATTTAAGGTACATCAACCTCTATTAAGCTTGGCCAACCACTATTAAGTGGCCACCTCCCATTTTCCCGCTGGTGGCCTCTTAATAGGGGTTCGATTGTAGTATTCCAACTTTGTTCCCATCAAACATTACTTGGTTTGTTGCTAGCTAATATTGTACGTGTCGCCCTTTGCACGCTTTGCGGGCCTAGCTGTTTTTTAACTTATGAGTTTGATGATGTTAAGATTGTAATAGAGGTACAAAGAACCTGAGCCACATTGGGCTGCAAATATAACCGCCTCCTGTTGCTCCTAGAATGTTTCTGTATTCAGTTATTTAAGAGTCACAGTTGTTGCAATAATTCAAACCATATTTACCTGAGGTTACAAATTATTCAATTTTTACCATAACTGAAAAATAGCATTTTACTTATTTCATCTCTTTTTTTCATAATATTTTGCAGTAATAAGCAACTCTGGCCCTCAGGTAAGCCCTGTTTGATAATTGTCTTGCAATTACTGTTGTGTGTTTGATCCTTCTTTCTGTCACACAACGGTCTCTCTCAATAGCGTACTGTTGCGTGACAGAGAGAGGGCCAAAACTTAGTGTTTGATATGAATTTTGCATTGTGGTAAGAAACGTTCTGGTCTGATCTGACATTGTTTTGTCTCCTGTAAAGATTTACAGAATTCCAGAGGAGCCAGTGTATGATGAAGTGCCAGACATTCCCCCTGACAAGGGATCTGCTGGTTAGTATTTAGTCAGCAATAATTTATGCGAATATAGTCAGGAAATAAAGGCTGGTTTTGGTATCCACAGAGATTTTTACCGTGAAGTTGTTGCAAGATACGCGTGGACCCTTGATTGTTTTAAGACTTTTTCGTATGGTTTGCTTTGCGTTTAAAAAAAATCAATTTCCAAAAATGAAACTCCATGCAACTTCAGTCAGTGTAGTCCGTCCG